GTAACAAGTGCCTTACTAGTAGTAACAAGTGCCTTACTAGTAGTAACAAGTGCCTTACTAGTAGTAACAAGTGCCACGCTACTAGTAACAAGTGCACCGCTACTAGTAACAAGTGCCTTACTAGTAGTAACAAGTGCCACGCTACTAGTAACAAGTGCATCGCTACTAGTAACAAGTGCCTTACTAGTAGTAACACCTTTGCACCTTGTTACTAGTAGCGTGGCACTTATTACTACTAGCGAGGCATGAGTGCGAAGCTTTGAGCTTTCAAGCTTTGAGATCCCTTTAAATTCTTTTTGTTACTAATAGTAAGGCACCTGTCACTAGTAGCTTCTTGTTACTACTAGTAAGGCACCTGTTACTACTAGCGTGGCACTTGTTAATACCCTTGCACCTTCTTTGCACCTTTGCTCCACACTTTGCACTTGTGGTGTCAAGCTCAGCACTTCCCCAGCAGGGAATGATTGCAACAGTGGGAGGAGTGGAAGGGCCATTTCAAGGGTTAGATCGTCAAAGCACCGGTTTAATCAGCCGGACGCGCAAAGAGCATGTGAAAGACAATACCTTGAGCAACCAAGAATATAATGGACATGTCGTTTCATGGAGGCCATCGCTAGTAGGTTGGAGGCCATCGCTATTAGGTTTTTGAGTGCAGCACCATCTTCACTCAAGAAGCACTGAGGAAGCCGGAAGGCAACTGCCAAACCCAGACCTCGACAATTCAAAGATGCCACTTGTTGCAGTCGTCTACAGTGCACACTAGACGTCCAAAAATTGAAGAACTTATCGCTTAACATCATGCACTACATCATTGCACACGATAGAAACAAGTGCATCGTTACTAGTAACAAGTGCCTTACTAGTAGTAAAAATGTTTGCTATTAGAAACAAGTGCATCGCTACTAGTAACAAGTGCCTTACTAGTAGTAACAATATTTGCTATTAGAAACAAGTGCATCGCTACTAGTAACAAGTGCCTTACTAGTAGTAACAATGTTTGCTATTAGAGACCAGTGCATCGCTACTAGTTACAAGTGCCTTACTAGTAGTAACAATGTTTGCATTTAGAAACAAGTGCATCACTAGTAACAAGTGCCTTACTAGTATTTGCACAACAACTCATGACTTGACAGCCTATGATGATCTTTACCCAGTGCTCTGTCAGCACAGCCGCCAAGACTTCCTCCTTGTGACAAGTGCGAAAGATGCTGCCTTGTTGCAATGTAGGAAGTCATCTTAATGTGTCTTTAAAGCTAGTAGTATGATGTAGTAAGAACTTGCCAGTAGGGAAGGGAATCCATTGCGTGCAAGGACGCAAAGGTGCACAAGCCAGTTCCTCATTTTGAGTGTAAATTGACTCTACTGTCAAGTGTCGATGAAACGTTCATCAATCGAATTGGCCAGTGGTAAGTTACAAGAGTTAATCGAGACGGAGGAAAGGGAGGGAGGAAGGATGGAAGGGATGTTTTCCAAAACTAGATTTGCATGAAACACAGTTGTATACGCAAGCGCATTTCAAGAAATCAAGTGGCCCCTGAAGAAGTGTAGCCGCAGCAAGTTGAAACATCGACGGGCTTGCGCCCGCTAGGAGACTGACGGATCCCTGTGAGCAAGGCTTCACCCAGGATCCGGTTCGAATTGGGAACAAGGATGCGAGGACGCCAAAGCGCATCACTGTGAGACCTGATCCCGCTTTATTGATTGAGAAGCCAAATTATGCTGATTGAAAGCCCCCAAGCAGCATCACACTTGGGATAAAGACCAGGAAAAGTGCAAAGGCCAACAAGCTTGAGCAAAGAAAAGGTTTGGAGGTTTAAAGAAAAACATGCAAAACAAAGAACAAAACAACGGAGTGACAAGGAGAAAAGCTCAAAAATAGAAATGCGACAGCATAGACCCCAGATAGCAAAAAAAAAGTCCGTGGGCAGCACCCTGCAGCCATCTGCAGCCGCACTCCACAGCGGCACTCTGCAGCCCCCTCCAGCGGTGCCAGCACCCAGGCTTCAAAGCGCACACAGGCACCTCTTTGTATACTTGAAGTAAGAATCCCAATAGCTCTCGCTATCTGGTGAAAAACACAGGAAACATGGCAAACAAGGCAAGTCTGCTGGGCAAACTAGTTTGTAAAGAGAGCAGAAACGACAGGACAGAGCAAAGCAAAGAGCACAGTAAACAAGTGTTCAATAGGTTTTTTCTAACCGCTGCTACTGTGGCAACACTTAACCAGCCAACTTTAACGGACAATAGCTGAGGGTAGAGACAAAATCATGAAGAAAAATCAAT